TACGTCAAAGGACGCTTTTAACGGAATTTGGTAATTTACATATTTCTTTGAAATAAAAGAATATTTTGCCAAAAAAACTATCCAGTAGTTTTTGTCATGCCGTAGCCTATCTACCGTGAAAATATGAGCGAAATCGAATTTTCGACCCTTGCCGAGTTATTTTCCATTTGTATGGACAGGGACTCTTACATAGTCAATGAGCATAAAACAAAAGATGTGCAGGGTCAAGGACCTTCCAACATAAATCTTAGCCTGTTTGTTTGCTTCTTTGATGTTTACCAGGCTTCCTAGCCGTTTCTTTCTATCAACTATGTTTCAAGTGAGGCCAATAATACACAGCTCGTAGAACACGACGTTACCTGACATTAACAATCATAGGAGGTCTGTCTTCAATTGTGATTGGCTCCAATGGGCTACACCCAGGCTCCGCAAAGGCATCTAAATTTCGAAACAAAATTTTAACATGTGACTACAACAGACAAAACCAACACCTATTAACTAATACTAATTTTTACTTCTAAATTGAAGAAATCTAAATGACAAGTTTACTAGAATACCGGTAGAAATCACCATCGAGGTGCTTTTGTAACAGAACAAGAATCAGTAAGATTGCGAAAGCGAAATAAATGGCAAGTACTAACAAACTTTGAAGAGCTAACTAGAACGTTAACCAATAGTCTCAACTGTGTATTTGAACACAATCCCACTCCTCATGTTATAGGGCCAGAGATAACATAAGGAAAAAAAAACGGAATGAGTTTTGTTACCATTCAAAGCCAAAAAATAGAGCTCCGTAGAAGCACACTTTACTTGCAAGGGAGGGCAAAAGTAGAAAATATTACATCCTTGAGTCGTTTAATGCGCTTCTACTTTTTGATTAGCACTTTTAAAAGGACGGATCAGACAGAAAGAGAATCAACGAGGGTTGACCAGAGCTGACAACAGTTCAAATAACTGCTGATTTTTTTTTACCGCTGTGCTGGATGCGCTCTCATTCATTACGCCATTTCCGCGTTGCTTTTTGCCCGTGTCAAAACGAGTCTGCAAATGAAACCATTCATACCAAAATGTTGTCACACACTCTGGTTTCAATACTCATACAGCTACTTACACTACTTACAAGGCTGACGCATTTACTTACACTACTTACAATACTTCTTATTCAACATGATTAATTCCGTCACTTACAATACTAAGACTTACGCTAATTATATTACTTACAATACACTACATACACCACTTACAATACAATACGATCACTTATTACATCTCTCAGTTACTACGCAAGCTGTGATTGGTTAATTTAGCGGGCCGTACTCTACTGTACGGCCCGCTAAAGCTGTCTTTGTTGCCGACTGAAATGTTTCGTGATTTATCACCACGTGTTCTTAACTTTTATAGCAAGTAAAAGTCTAAAACTTTCTTTTACTTTAAATTGTGTATTAAAAGGTGCTAACGACTTAACAACAATTTCAAATTGACTCGTTTTGCTTTCGACTTGCCTCAGAAATTTGAAACCGTTCCGCTTGAATAGAAATCGTTCCCGAACCCGTCCGAAACACAGGAGAGATATAATAAATATCTTACTAACTTCTTCTTCTCGGTCCGTACTGTAATTTACGAATCCTCTTTTTCACCCCGTCGATTCATAAATCGAAGGAGAAAAAACTCGGTCCGTAACTTACAGTACGGACCTCGAACTTGGTTAGTAAGAGGTATTTACGCTACTTACAATACTAATGCTTACACTACTTACAGTACAATACGATAACTTAAAAAAAAAAAAACTCCTATGGAAATGTATTTCGCCTATACTTTTATGCAAATCAAACGCACTTGCATGAAGACTCGCTTTGAAACAGAGGTTCAAGGCAACGCGAAAGTGGCCCATTTGAACGTGTTTGTTTGGCCGCGCTCTGTTTAAAACCGATGACGGATGACAAGACTCTTTCCAACCCTCACCCCTCAACTCTCGCTGACTCTCCACGTTCAATCAACCTTTACCTTCCAGGGTTTCAGCTGTAGTTCTATTAACACTTTTCATTTGTCGTTTGGTGATCCTTTTCTTTGCTGGCTTTAAGACCTTCCTCTCCGAAACGTCTGCTTTTGCATCTGCCCTTCTCGTTTTCCTTTTCTTAGAGTTTAAGCCTCCCCTGGCTTCTCGGTTAGAAGTTGATGAAGTCTGACTGTCTGTCGAAAAAACAGAAGTTAATAAATCTTGGTCATCAGACAAGTCGGACCCTTTTCGCTTTCCGGCTGCACTTCGTCCGGCCTTTGGTGACTCGAAATCGTTATCATCGCCGATTCTAACAGCGGTTGAGTCAGCAGCCGCCTTTCTATGGCATGCAGCTTCATCGCCAGAGGCAGTTTTCACTTTCTTAAGAGCATTTCTCTTTGACAATCGAGAGCTAACAGGACTTGAATCGACCTCAGTAGCACCAGTGATAGCGTCAGTTCTCTCTCCTATGCCCGAAGTTTCATCGCCAGATGCAGTTTTTGGTTTCTTAAGAGTACTATTCTTTGACAATAGCGCGCACAGTGGAATTGAATCAACGTCAGTAGAGTCAGTGATAGAGTCCACCCCATTTCTTTTGCCAGTAGCTTCATCGCTACGTGTAGATGCAGTTTCCGGTTTCTTAAGAGTATTTTTCTGTGACATTCGAACGCGAAGAGGAACTGAATCGACGTCAGTAGAATCAGTGTGAGAGTCCTCTTTCTTTCGTTTTCCTGTAGCTTCATCGCTGCGTGTGGACGTAGTTTCCTGTTTCTTAAGAGTATTTCTCTTCAACATTCGAGCGTGAAGAGGAACTGAATCGACGTCAGTAGAATCAGATTCAGGAAAGGAGTCAGTTTCCCCTCTTTTGTTTGCATCTTCACTTTCACAGGCAGTTTTGGGTTTTTTAACAGTGTTTTTCTTTGACAATCTAAAGCTCAGAGGAATTGAATCGACCTCAGTATAATCAGTGGTAGAGTCGTCTCCTTTTCGCTTGTCTGTAGCTTCATCGTCACTTGCAGTTTTTGGTTTCTTAAGAGCATTTTTCGTTGACAATCGGGAGCTGAGAGGAATTGAATCGACCTCAGTAGAATCAGTTATAGAGTCGATTTCTTTTCCTTTGCCTGTAGCTTCATTGTCAGATGCAGTTTTTGGCTTCTTAAGAGCATTTTTCTTGGACAAACGCTCACGAAGAGGTATTGATTCGATGCCAATAGAATCAGATTCTGAACCCGATCTGCAACGTTTCGACTCAGAAGTTGTAAAAGCAGTCGACTTTGTATCAACATTGTCACAGTTCTTTACATTTTTCAGTGACCCAGCGTCTTCAGCGCAAATGGTTGCTCTATATTCTTCGTTCTCTGGACACAAACCAGATGCAGCGCTGCAATTCTCTGAGGAGTCATTTGGTAAATGGTTATCTTCATCTCTATGCCTTGAGAGAACACCATTGTCATGTTCTCCTGGATTTTCGACCTCTCCTTGAAATGTCAAGACCTCTTGACTGTCTATTTCACTACCAAGCTTATTAACCCAGGAAATACGGCCAGGCTTCCCATAAGTACCACCTTCTGATTCGTTACAGACAGTGGACCTTTCAGTGTTCTTTCCATTTAACTCGACTTCCACACCAGCAGAAGAAGAAGTACAAAGACGGGCATCGTCATTTTTCTGTGCTTCACTTTTCTTGTTCCTAAATAGTGAACAGACAAGACAAAATTAACATTAAACAATTTTAAATACAACTCCACGAAATTTTGCACTCAGCAAAATAATCCAAAATTTTCGAAATGGCGCCAAATGGTACAAAAATTTCATCGAAAAGTTTCCGGAAAATCCCAAAATCATTGAATTTCCGAAATGCAAACCATTCAACCGGAAATTCCAGAGGAAAAATCTACTGGAACGGAATATCTTGGTAACAAATTTTCGAAACTTTCTCACGAGGCTTTTTGTGGTAATTAACGCTGATCCAGTTAGCTTTGACAATTTCCGGAAATTCAAAATGGAATTTTTGGGCGAATGGAAAGTTTTCAGGGTGACACAGAGGTCAATGATTTATTCACTGTGTCATATACCATTCCTTACATATTCTTTAGGGCGGCCCTCTTCTTTTGGGTAGAATGTGTCACACAAGCAGGGTCCTTGTTGAAGTACTTGCTGATGGTCGATTTAGAAGGTGCTGGCTGTTGTCTTGCAACATCTTGAATCACCTTTAATAAATTAAAACCATTTTAATACCGTAAACTTCCGACAGTAACGACCCTCGTTACTTTCAAAATTAGCACCCTTTAGGGCTCGTTACTTTCAGGGGGTCGTTACCTTCAAGGTGTCGTTACTTTCGGGAAGCAAAAAAACGTTTATATGAAGTTGGTAGGGCTGAGCGGTTTTTTTTTACAAAATAAAACATGGAAATTCGTGAAAACATTTCTTTAAAAATCAAACCAAATTCTTCGTTCCAATTTTACAGCTATGTTGCTGCCACATGGGTGAGCTCTTCATGTCTAGATCGTGTTGTCAGTGGCCGACAGGAAAGCTAGTCAGATATCGTAAACTGTCTCTTCCTCATGACGCCCTGCTATGTTAGTCTGCTTAAACAATATTTCAGAGCGTTGACCGAGTTTTCAACTCAAGTTTGAAGAAACGTTCCTTTTAACACGCACCTGTTGAAATGATACAGAGTTATCAATTTTAATTTAAAGAAAAGTTACGGTTAATGAAAATTCTATGCTTTTTGTTTTAACACGGTACAACATAAACTGACGAAGCACGAATTTAAATTTCACGGCGCTAGGTGGCATAAGCGATACCTTCCCTTGTTGTAGAGTGCCTTAAATCAACTGATCTTTCAGTAGCTTTCACTTGACTACTGATTGGAAAAATGAATATACCACAGAACCTTGGTCTCACTATTTTTGGTGGGAGAGGGAGAGCGGAAGGGTGGGCTACTTTTGGAATTTATTAGCGGCATAATTTTCCGACGTTACAATTATTTTCAAGTACCCCCGACCGCTCCCTGGAATGGCAGGTATACCCTTACTAGGTTATTTTAGTAGGGATAAGTAGCGTAAAAGCTTTCAAAACAGCGAGAATACAAAGCAAACATTCTTGTTACAACACTTACTAGTAAGAACACTCACACCAAATTTCTATTTCACATATTTTTCTTAAAATACTGTGTTACAGACTGCGCTTCCCGTTTTGGTAATAACCAAGTTACTCATAACTCAAAGGCGACAATTTGTAACTGCTTTGAAAGAATCTGGAAAGAATCCAGGTTCCACTATAAGTGGTCCTTATAGATGTGGTGTATACTGAGAATGTAGGCTATTTAGGTTCTTAAATGGATTAATTTAAGTAAGTGAAAAAGGTGGTTGCTGCTGGTGTGAATGAGTGAGGTCTCTCATGCCTTTATTGTTGATTTTTACTTTGTTTTGTTTTTCGTCTTAAGTTAAAAGCGAGATAACGTTTTATAGAAATTTACAGTAAATATCCTGCTCTAAATCCCCTAATCAACACCCTCATTTATGTCAGGCTTTTTGCCTTCAATACACTACAACAAGCCATGTTCAAATAAAAACCTCTTTCAATTTCTAGGATCAACAGGTTCTTACCCAGCAGCAGTTTAAGTGCCAACCTGTTAGCCTACAGGTTATTAATCACTGGTTCATATCGTTTCACAAAAAAGAAAGGTGATGGTGACGGTCAATGTTGTTAAAAATAACTGAAGGAATGGCATGATTTTTTTAGATCATGTGTACTTAAGGCATCTGCTGTCAAGTGTTGATCAATACCCTTAATTGATACCCTCAATTGATCCGCGATCTACCCTCGACGGACACCGATCGACACTCTATCAACATCTTGGTCAACTAATTTTTGATCGATGCATATGACTCGGTCAACCAACACTCAACTGACTATCAACCGACTGTTGATCGACACTTGACCACAGATGCCTTTAGTACACATGATTATATTTTTTTTTACTACAAAAAGAAGTTCAACTTGGTTTTCTGTCACATGTACACTGTTACCTTAGTTGAACTTCTCCTCCAAGTGAACACCACTGATGCCCAGAAGGCAGTATATAAAGAATTTATAGTAGCCAACTAATTAACAATTAATTAATGTTCTGAATTACCAGTTAAAAATGCTTACCCCGCCTGCTGATGGCATGTCATGTGCAACTTGAGAAGCTAAACTGACAGTGACATTAAGCTTCTCTGAAAAGAAATCATAGCTTCCGTATCCTCCACCTAAAAAATCGAAAAATTAAAGTGCTGGTAAGGCTTAAAACACTATACAACAACTTATTTCCCCTTGCATGACTCAAATAGCAGACAAGTAGAAAATTAATACATGTAATGTATGACTGGTATAGCTGTAATGTCAAATAGTTTTGTTCCTTTTGCAGTTTCATTTTTCTTTTTTATTGTTATAATTGTCATTGTTGTTTTTTTCCTAATGGTAGTGGTGGGAGCACAATATAGGTGCAAGCTAATTTTATTTGGGTGATCGGGTGAATGTCTCAGTTGTGTTTGCATGTCAGGTTTTGTGCAGATATGTTGAGTTTTCTTTGAAAACATGACATTAAAAATTACTATGATAATCACAATTACCTGAATATCCACATTGCTCTGAATTTTTCCTAAGGCCATCTATAACTGATTCCTTTATTCAAAAGCCAAAAAGTTAGGAAGCTTAATAATGAACAATTTAGTACCATTCAGCTCAACTTAACCAAACCGATCACAAGGAATCTTTAATCCTTTTGAGTGTCAAGGTGGTGTCTGTATTAAGTGGTTTGCACTGTACTACCCATTCATTTACTCAACAGATTTCTAAAAATTTAGCCACTGTAGTTAGTATAGGTACATGTAATCATACGAATGCAAGTGCATTAAGGATTTACATTATGAGACAGTGATATTAAAAAATGCACTCAAAATAATATTGCACACATGTTAGTTTGCACTGCAGTGCAAATTAAGAATTGACAATAAAATGGCCTGATCTTAGCCAATCACAATGGTTGAAAAATACCAGAGAGAGATCAAACATATGTCAAAGTCAGTGGACATCATGTGCACACTATTGCAGAGCTAAAATTACAGGTATGGGTTTTAGTTTGAAGTATTCTCTGTTTTCAATGTTAGTGAGTTTAAGCAGGTTTATATTCAATAAATCAAGAAATGTACATGTACAGAATCTTTCTCAAGACTCCACTTGTGAATTACTTTAATTTCTTTCCAAAAACTTCTCTCTGAAATTTGAGTAGCCAGACTTGGGGTGTAGCTTATCTGCGAGTGCAGCTGATCCGCTGGTGTTTACAGTATTTCCTAAGTCATATAATAAAAAAATTTGCCGAGCATGTACTTGGAGGTGTAAACTAAGTGGTTTGAACTATAAATTAATACTCTTCTCACCTGTTTCTGTCGAATCAAGACAGTTTGCTTGCATTTCCTTTTCTTGACAAATTGATACTGGATGCACAATTCAGGATCTTTAGTAGAATAAACATTATTTATTAAATAAATCAATAATCTATGAAAAAAAAAATCAAAACAAAGAAATAAATTCATTTCACTTGATACTCAAAACAGAATTTTAGTATATGGGGTGGAAAATTCAGTACTTTTTTTATGAAGAAAAACAAAGGATTGGTTCAAGTTTCTTGACTTTAGTTTATTATTGTTTACCAAGAAAATAGTGTGCATACCAAGCAAACACCAGTAACATGTGAAATATTTCACGGTGTACCACTGACAAGAGAGAGTTTCATAACTATTTTATAAAATGACATAGAAAAACAGTGGCCAACACAGTCAATGCGACATATGTGCTGCGCTTGTTGGGAAGGTTGGATGTAACATCATCAAATACACAACGGCTTTCCTGTATTCGGATTGGCTGTACTTTCTACGGCATGGTATGAAATAGGTTATTGGTCCCAGACTCAGCCTTCCCCATTAACGCACGGTCAAAATACAAGTAACCTAGGTTGAAATAATTCTGAACTAGTTAGTACTTTTACTTCATAGTAAACGAGGATTTAAAAACAAAATTCTATCTTACCAGGTAGCATTTCAGAACAATCACGATGAGATATCCTTACACTCTTCTTTTTGTCTACAGCTTCTGATGGAGCCAAAACTTTTGCCAAAATAACATCCTCTAGCTTCAAAATTAACCGCTGTGCATCAAAAAAAGACTCAATTGTTTATTATAATATATTAAAATAAATTATGTTCTTTGGTTTCTCAGGCATCATACCATTTCACAAGCATTTTCTAAAGACATGGTATATTCATTTTGCGCAAATAAAGTGTACTGATCTCACTGGTTTTATTTTGTTCAAACATAATTTTTATAAGGTGTGAATGCCTGTACGCTTCTGGCTCCCTCACCAAAGTATGCATGTCTGATTAATAAATAAAACACTGAAAAAATTTTTATTAAAAAAAATAAATAAATAAATAAATAAATGAATAAATAAAAAACTACTGATCGTTTGCAAAATACATGGTAAAGTTGCATTGCATTGCGTAGGGGTTAGTTTTCAGCAGGAGGTCAACTGGTTTTCAAAGGCAGGCAAAACTATTTGATCTAAACTTCTAATATAGGAAAAACTTTTCTCTAGATGATCAAACCAGGCAGAAAAAATTGTTTTATTTTCCCCGTGCCCAGCCCTTGGTTGCATTGCGTTGCGTTGCATTACGATATGTTTTATTGCGTTGCATTGTGTTGCGTTGCAAATAAAATGACCTATCTTGTCAGGACTGTCATGAAGGTCACCAGTTACACTGTGTGATCAGTACATTTACAGCTATGAATGTCTCTATTTGATGAATGCATATTAAGTGCCTGCCAACAGCTATTTTGACCAACTGAAAGAGAGCTGAAATTCTTCCAGCAAATAAAAACTTGGTTAATTTTGAGGATGTGCAAGCCAGAAAACCCAGCTTATCTTGTCAATAAGCCTTCTAGGTTAATTCTTAGCTACAACCCAGAGTTCTATCGTTCATGTTGCTTTGTTTTGCAATGTACAAGATAACCGATTGAACATTGTTGCAATGAATGAAGGCATACTTACATCAAAGTGTTCTTTTGTAAACCATTTGTAGCTGTTGGCTTTATTTTCTTTCAAACACTCGCCTATATGTAGACACTCAGGTTGTATGGAAATTTCCACCACAACAATCTTTCGATCAAAAACCTTGACAAAAAATAAAATAAAATATATTTAAAAAACAGTATTTAATATTACCTCATTTTATGTTCCCTGAGTTAACTAATAACTTGACAGGGGTCCAGTTGTTCAATAGTTTTTACCAAAATTTACAGGCTTTTTGATCTTGATCTCCAGGTTTCTGGTGGTTGAGGTTGAAAGGTTTGTTTTTATTGGCCAGGATGTTCCAGCCCTAATAAGCTTAAACGAGAAGGTCACTCCCAAAAGCTTATTTTTGTCTTCTCCTATAGCAAGTAACCATTCAGCTTTTCCACTCACCGAAGTTTCAGCCTCTGAGATGCCCGCTATCCTGAAGAATTCGTCTCGAAAGAAGCAGCTCCAGAGACCACCATTTTAAAACTGTCTTGGCAGCCAGGCCTTGTTTATGTGACTTCATTATGTCTGACTAGAAATTGGTGGGAAGGAGAAAAACTTTGCATCCTTCACAAGGTCAGCAAAATCTATTTTTTTCAAGTGATTATCCACTTCGCTATCTTCAATACTATCAATTTGGAGTTTGGAACATGTTTGGCTCAAAATAACATGGCTCAAGAGCAGCCATAACCCAGAGTGGTAGTTAAAGGGCTTGTCGAAAGCCATTTGGACAAAATGCATCAGACGGAGTGACGTCACGAAAACGCGGCCTGGCTGCTGAGTACTGTTAGATAGCGGCAACGATGTCGATTCTTGGGCTTCTTTGGAGACGAATTTCATAAGGAAAACCTGCACTTTAGAGTCTGAAACTTCGGCGAGTGACTAAACTTGGTGCAAGGTTTTTATCGGCGTTGACAAAAACATACGTTGTTTGGAGTGACCATCTCCTTTAAGAGGAATAAATACTCTCTATATTTTAGACTCGTCTTCAGGCCTTTTGTCGCCCATTCGCATCCCCACAATACGACAGCCTTGACTTAAATACAAGCACGTAAATAAACTTACTCCATCTCGATCTCGATGAATCGCCAAAATCGCTAGATCGATATGTTCTGGCGATTTGAGGTCTTCTATTGTTTCAAATAGTTACGTTGACTCTGATCTGCATGTAACAAAAATCTCACCTTTGCATATATCGTGTTCCTCTTTATCTTTGGCCCCATTTAGAACAAGTTACTCAATTATTTCAGTAACATACATTGGTGTTTAATTTATTGTGCGAAGAAACGACCGCCAAACACCAACTCAGGCAGGGAATCCTCAACTAAGACTGGGAACTAAAATGAGCAACAGAAGGACTGGGGAAGAGCTAATTTAAAAATGGCGCCCAAAGAGATTCTATTTCGTAAAAGTCCGAAGGAAGCTGTTTATATCATGAATTTTTCATTCGAAGTTGCCTAGCGTACCGCAAGCTTGTTAAGGGCTTTGTGTTACCTTAAACGGTTGACTGCCTGTATAATTGAATAAGGGAAATATGGCGAAGAGTTACGATTATTTGTTCAAAGTTCTGCTTATTGGAGATTCGGGAGTAGGGAAAACATGCATTCTGTGTAGATTTGCCAACAACGAATTCAACAGATCGCACATATCGACGATCGGTAAGTTTAATAGCAAATCTTCCTGCCTTAAAATCATTGTTGGCATCTGCAGGTTGTTTCTTGAAATACCTGCTACTCACTGTGTACATAAAATTCTGATTACTATCGCGTCTCGACAGGAATCGATTTTAAGATGAAGACAATCATTGTGGAAGGGAAGAGAATCCGGATTCAGATGTGGTAAGCCATCTTTTCTGTCCAAATCTTTCCCCTCCGTATGTGAGCATCGATTTCCGGTCATTCGGTTGCTTAGTTAGCTAGGGAATGCGACAGGATTTATTTGCTTGATTCTACTCGCAATATTTCCCCGGGGTATATAGTATCATTTAACATTTATAACTTACAAATACAAAGCCTTGTATCTTTCGAAGGTACAGTAACTGTAATTCGAAAGTTCGCGCAAATTGGATCGAAATTAAACGACGTAAACGAACAAAACTGCCGCATTGTTATTAAAAGTGGAGTTTTCTCCACGTACCCTGCAGCTTTCTAGATTCATCGAAAACTTATTATGCTAATTATATCGCCTAATTTCAGTTCAATTTTGTTTTTCTTTTGGTATTTATTCGAAAAACCAATTGAGTAGCCGATACGGGCTGTCTACATCATTGCGATCGACTGACCTTCGTAAAATTCTTCCCGCAATACGTAAGCATACTTCCCGGTTTAAATTATGACAGTAAGTCTTAAAGTTTGAGTTTATTCTTTCGAGAACGTTGGGCGCCGATGTATATCTGTGTTTTCCAAAAGTAGATTTCATTCCTGTGATATTCTTTCTGTTCAACTAGTCGAGTGCTACGTTTTATGATATCCATCTTAGTTGCTAATAATAATTTACCACACACACTTTTTATTTGCGAATCTATCTCCCCTTGAGGTTCAGTATCGCCTTTTCAAATTAAGGCACAAGTAAACAGCTAAGCCCAAAATGCCAACCAGGTGTCCATTAACTGTGGTCAAGATAATTCACGGCCGAATCAAAGTTAAAAGTCATTGAAATACTTTCTTTTTCGAATTCCTCACCAATCAGCTGAGGCATTCAGTAATGAATTCAAAATACTATTATAGATAATGGTCGCTATATTGCGCTGTATTGTTCCTGAGTGGGCTCGATGTACTCTCACTTGGTTAAAAGCTGTATTTGGATGTTTTATTTTTAAAAGGCCCTTAATTTGACAATTGATTTTCCTTGCGTAAAGAATAAATTAACACAAGGATACATGAATCATTTATATGTAGAGTGAAATCTATATTGAATATTTTAAAGGCCGTTTTAGGTAGACTTCTTCTAGGTAATGCGTGGCAAGCACGCCCAGACATTGCTTAAATTCCCTTACCAGAATATTCCCTTTGCCTAAATAGTTCTATAGATTTTTAGTAATTTTTATCCATGCAGATCTTAATATATCCTAATACATTCATTATCCTGTAAGAGGGCCACTTAGTTTATTAGTATGTGCATACTATTTTGTGTTACCCTCGTTAAATCAAGACTTTACTACTTACCTTCAATTTCTTTGTTCTTTGTTCAGTATGGCTTAATTTGCTATATTCCTCTTTCAATCAAGACATTATCAAGTACCCCAGCTCAAGCTCTTAATGTCCACTATTTTGATAATTTATTTGATTTTATTAACTTGAATTACAAAAATTTTTAAAGCTGTAAATTAATGGACCTCTTTTACCATTGCTATTATTTGTGATCGTATTTATCATACTAACATTAAGTTGGTTAGATGTTGTCTGGGTGACGTGTTGTTTAGCTAGTAAGGAATGGGGAAAAGAATTATTCCAAAACACACATGTATAAGGATATTTGAGCAGATTTAGTTTCTACATTTTTAGGGATACAGCTGGTCAAGAAAGATATGAGACAATCACCACACAGTACTACAGACGAGCACATGTAAGTTCCGTCAAAATATTTTTTCATATATCAATATTTAAATGTCAGGTTATCTTGTTAAGAACAAACAGACTTTTAATGATCTGATGAGTTTAATATTATGATGTCCTTACAGCTGGTTGAAGGGCACAAACAATATGACCGGTAATATATTGGTAGCTGCTCAATACAATTTTATTGTAGTTGTTCAGTGTTCAAGATTTTCTGTTTTTTGGCAAATAATAAATTAGGAGACATTCGGTCCTCTAATGAATGCCTTGGATACAGGTATACCAAACCTCCTAGCATTCCATAGGGGTCACCAAATTCTCAGATACCCTGTACATTAAATTTTGCAGATACTAAGGACATGTACATGCACCAGGTATTTTTGCACTAATTTGGCCAACTTGGGATGATTTTGAAGAGAAATGTTTGGATATTTGACAGGTTTTGTGGTTGAATCAGTGGAACTCTATTTTTAGCAAGTTTTCAGGTCGAGAAATGCAACATTGAAGATCTCGTCAAATTGAAGTTATTCCCAATGACATCTCATTTATGCGATGTAGAACTGACAAATGAACATCTAAGCTTGACACGGAGAGGGAGAGACGGGGCTGCTGTCTGGAATGAATTAAGTAGCCAGCTAATTTTGACTTTCCAGAGCATTTATTCTGATACCTGAGTATTGATGCATGCTGTGTTAGGTCAATTCAAATAACAAACTGCATCTTGAATGAGTAATTTCCTCTTCAAGTGCGCATGTACATACCTAACCTGTCTAGATTAACGATGGTATTGTCGGAACCTGTAAAATATGAAGCTACCATCTGAACATAATATTGATACTGTAGACGAAAGTTTGTTTGGAACTGGACAAGTCCATTAAAGTAATTAAATGTACAGACCGAGTTAAACTTATCAGGACTGGAGTGTGCAAAAGTGCAGTCATGTGTATTGAAAGGCAATTGCAATCGAGTGTTGATCAATACCCTGAATTGACCTGCAATTGACACTCAATTGACCTCTCTATCAACACTAAATTGGCATCCCGACTGATACTTGGTTGACACTCGATTGTCACTCAATTGACATCTTGACTGACACTCAGTGGACACTCGATCGACAGTCGGTCGATAGCCAGCAAAGTGTTGACCGACTCATATGATTTGATCAAAAATTTTTGACTGTAGACCAAGATGTCAATCAAGTGTTGATCAAGTGAAAAGCGAGGGTCAATCGAGTATCTTTTGAGTGTTGATTGAGGGTCAATCGAGGGTATCAATTGACACTCGACCATGGATGTGCTTAGTACACATGATGCCAAAAGTCTTGTACTATACAAGTTGTGGTTACAAAATTTGCACAGTCATGTATGCATATTTGTAACACATATATATAACAGTACTATGCTTAACATTCCATCATGCTTCATGGCATTAATTTAGTCCTTTCTACAGCACTGTATTTTTTTTTTCCTCCAGGGAATAATTTTAGTATATGATATCACAAGGCAGGAAACATTTAATAACATTCGAAAATGGCTTAGATATGTCGATGAGGTAAGTGTTCAGGCAGCTGGCTCAATCTTCTTGATTTTTTTGATGTTGTTGGGAACCAATTCTTGGAAAGTCTTTAGTTGGCATATACTACAAAATTATTAATAGTAAAATATTATTACAATTATAACAACCAAATGGTAATGCCACATACCGGTACATTATTATGTGAAATTTTTGTGACATGTTAATTTTTCAAATTTCACGATTTCAAAAAAACTCACAAAATTAAAGTGACATGAACACTGAGTGTTGCAAACATAACATAATGCCAAAATAAAGTGACTCACATTATGTTACTGTTTAGCATATAGTCCTGCCGTTGCATTTTTGTTACTTTTGACATTATTAATATAGTACCTTTGATAACGACGGCTTACTAAATTCAAATTGCCATTAGGAATTAATTGTGTGTTACTCGAAAACACAAAGTTATTCAATCAGTGATTAAAACTGCAAAATTTTCGCAAAACTGCAGAATTTAAGTGTTGCGAATATGCACACCCCAAAATCGTGAAATAAAGGTGTCATGAAAATTTTATGTTATAAGGTACTTGACAACTGAAAAATGTTTGTAGAGTTTCGTTATTGTTTGAGACGAAAGAAAATTGGACATTCTAGGCTGATCATTAACGCCCACTATGTTTATTATAAATAAATTTATAATTCCTTAAATAATATTAAATGCAATGTCAATAGCACTTACTTGCTGCATTTTTCTTTCTTGTTTTTTTTCCAAAAAGCATGCTAACAACAATGTTCAAAGATTGTTACTGGCAAACAAATGTGATGCTGAAGATGAGAGAAGAGTGTGGAAAGATCAAGGAGCCAGGGTTAGTATTGATCACATCCTATCTGTTTAATGTATTAGAGAAGCAATGTAAAGGATAATGGACTGTAGGTGGCAGAAGAGTTAATAAGTGCACTGTAAATGTATGAATGTAGTAAGTTAAAAACCTTGTAGTTTTAGCCTAGCAGCTGGTGCTTCTCTGGTTTCCATGGCATGAGGAGACATACATTTGGAATACTTCTACTTTCTCTTGGGTGCAAGATTTACAGGGTGGAGAAAATACAGTCGAACCTCTCTAATGCAGACACCAAAGGGACAGAGCAAAGTGTCTGTATTAGAGAGGTGTCTATATTAGAGAGGAGATCACTATGATGACATCACAGTATTTTCTGTTACACTGTATTGTATTTGCATTTGTAAAACTAGCATTTTGACATGTTCTGGTATTGGTATCAATTAGTGTCAATGTTTGTGTAACCGCTGACAGGAAATGGTATGTACCGCAAACTATCGACACCTGGTCCCTGGAGTGTCCATAATAAGAAGGTTAAATTTGTGAGAATTTTGTCGATACATAGGAAACTGTCCATATTAGAGAAGTGTCCATATGGAGATTTTCGACTGTACATTATGAGAATTAATAACTGTATCGTAATCCAAATCATGTCAAGAAAAACAGATTAAAAGTTTTAAAAGTTAAATATTTTTAATCTTAAGAAATTACCAATAATTTATTGCCTCCTCAGCAGTTTAAGTTATTTCAATTAATTAGTCATCCCAAAAACAATAAAGAAAATGAGAATACTTCATTAACTTTAATATTAATAGTACCTTTGAGATGTGAAAACAATTAACCAAATAAAAAAACCCTGTTTTATTATTATATTAACACTTTGAAAAATTTCCACTAGAAACAAAATTTACAGATTTAAAATACCCATCTGCAAAATAAACTAATTAATATTGAATTCTGTTCATAGCTGAATGACACTCTTCATGCACCAGAGTAGATTGATAAATATTTTGTCCCTGGTGGGACCGGCAATTGAGTTTATTCACAAGGAATATGTGACTCAATTTCTGACAAGAAATGTTTGCTTTTCAGCTTGCTGCTGAGAAAAACATCAAATTCTATGAAACAAGTGCCCAGTCAAACATAAATATAGATGAGGTAAGACAATGCAGGTACAAATAGTTTAAATTACCAGTAGGCACACAATGCTAAATGAAGCTTAATACAACCCCAACCTATTAATAACATTATCAGTTATCCTTTGGATTGAAAATGTTATGCATGTGATAAACCAAATCCATGCTTTTAGAGACTTAAATTTAATTGTTTGCTCATATATTGTGTGTTTAACTTAATAATTGTTTTTCAGGCCTTTACAGAAATATGTCGGCAAATTTTACAAACAATGAGTGAGAATAACCAGGTAGGTACTCAGTTCGGGGGTAGAATTAACGAAAGATGAACATTGATAACAGAATCAAAACACATTAACCTGGAACAGATAATTTTTGCTACTAATTACCTTTTCTTTGGAATAGGGGCTCTCAAATGCTTAAAATTTTGGAATGAAAATGTGAAGCTAACTTGAATTTCTGGAGGTTTGGGTTGGGGAGGGGGGAGGAAGTCAAACCTGAAAAAGGTCTGCCATGGGGATGCATGGATATTTCCCAGAGAAACTCATTCTACACTTCAATGCTTAGAATTGAAGAAGAGGAGCTTTTATCAAAAGGTATTTAATTGACCAAACAATATACAGTATTAATTACTCTAGGATAACACTTTCAACATTCTTTTTTAGAATGGAAGTACGCTGTCAGCAACTGGCGAAATTGGATCAAATGCTGTTCTTCTAGACACAAAGAATGAAGTACTTCCACGGAGTTCTTGTTGCTATTAAGCATTAAATTGAACCAGAAATAATTTAATTATAAAGCTTTTAGAAGAAAGAGCCTATACTCCAGGCATTGGTATCTACCCAATGCTTAGTTTATTTCCTAGTCTTGCAAGGGACTGCAGAAACAATATTCTCAACCAAGTTCACCCATGAGGTCACTAATGCATGGTCAGTGGCAACAGTCACATGTACAGAATTTTGAAATCCCTGAGGGATTTTTGATGTTGCATTTGACAACAGAATTCCCTAATTTGGGAGACGTATGTATGTATGGCTTGGTGGTTGCTCTAGATACTGAAATGTAAAGCCAGATTCCAAACTCAAACTAGATAATTATCTCATTCTTTGGATGCATTGCGGACCTATTTTAGAAGCTTTGCACGCATTGATGCTAAAGTACTTAAGCTTGCCGATGTGAAGATGAAGCTGAGAAACTGCAAAATTAAATAGGCAAGTTTTCCTGTAAAAGGTCTTTAACATTACTACGTTAAGTTGTAAAGATTTTATTTAACTTATTTTGTTTTTGTTTTTAAAGAGAAAATTCACTGATAGGTTGGAAATTGAATGAATACTTCAAAATCGCATTTGTAAAGGTTAGATAATGTAACGAGGTATCTGAGATGCTTGAAGATCTTTGTAGCTACACTACATGAACGAATCGGTAATATTTCAGAGAAATCAATAAAACATATGTCGACAGTACCATCCAAAAATGATTACCTTATAATAATTATTGTAGGAAATTTTTGCAATGCATATTTATTTGTTTTATTTTGTTTTGGTTTTGGTTTGGTTTTTACAGTGATATATGTTTGTGAAGTAGACTTGCCTAAGTTATTGAAATTTCACAGCATAATTTTCAAATCATTAAAAATATAATTACTATTTTAATACAGTTTACCCCTGCCAAAGGGAATGTTTGAAAAGCATATCCAAAAAAAATGATTAAGTTCCACTTCGTTAAGAATTCAGGATATCCGTTTATCAGACAACAAGGTTCAACTGTAAATAAAATGCTGTTATGCCTTGCATGAAAATGTTCTATGGTGAGGTTCATACAATACAGATATTTTAAATCTTTTTTCTGTATATTTATCCTAAAACTTACTCTGTAACACAAGTTTGTTGCTGTAAGAGAATTCCTCCGATCGGTAACAGTGAAGTGAAAAGAAACCTATTTTGAACATGAATATGATTTAATGTTAGATGATTTAATTTAAAGTTAGGGAATGAATCTATCGATATGCACAAAATGGTTATAGAATCTGCCCCCTTCCCCTCATCCTCTCCTTTTTGCAGGTATTATTTGTCTGAAGAAGGGAGGAAAGTGAACCGGTGCACCCGCATTGATCTACAATTTGTATCATAGTAATATAGCAGCTATTTTAGGAAACTTTCCGGAATCTCTATCTTTGTAATGAAAGAATTTATGAATTAAAAACTACAGCTTTAATACCTTAGCTTGTGGTCGCAATGTTTACTGGTGTCCTCAAGTAGCGAGTATGTGGTGTACCTTCAATGTATTTGTATGCAAGTAGTTCAACACTAACTTTGTTACAAACTACATAAGCGAGATGTAACATTGACGTTGAAAAAAAGTGCACAGCCGTACAGTCAATGGTGTGGACGACAGACGGAGAGATTGATAGACTGACATGTATATACGCGCAATCCAAAGAACTAAGCCTTCATTTTGATTCTCACCTAATTTAATCTTGCATACCCACGACTTATCTTAAATTTCTCTTTTCCTTCGTTTTCTTATTTCGCGTTATTCTCACTTATTTTTTTTCCCATAGTGTAATCAATCCCTGTTTTTTTCCTCGGACTTTTCTTTTTTCCCTTCCCTTCCCTTCCTCGTGTTCCCCCACCCTGTTTTGTCCATCTGAAATCTTCTCTTTCCGTTTTCTCTTCCTTTCCCCTTATTTTCTTCCGCCCTCTTTCCTCTGACCCTCAGTTCCCCCTGGTTTTCGTCGCTCTACTCTTGTTTCCTTCCCTATTATTCTCCTCGTTTAGTCCTCCTACGTCTTCCCCCTTTAAATTTGCGCCCTTTTGTCTCCCCTCCCGTTCCTCATTCTCTTACCGGCCCCCCCTTCGTTTACTCCGATCCCCTGGTTTTGCTCCCTCGCTATTTAATTAGTTCCTATGATTTAATTAATCTCCTCCTTGACCTCTTTTCCTATCTCTCTCTTTTTCGATCCCTTCATGCTCTCTCCTCTCCTTGTTTCCACTAGTTTTCGTTTTGTTATTCTCTCCTTTTCTCTCGCCATTTCATTCTCCAGCCCCCTCGTTTTGTTTTTTCCGCGTCTTTTATCTTCCTCTTGAATCTGTTGCTCTTTAATTTCTTCGCTCTCAGTCGCTTGTTTTCTCGGATCCTCTGTACTAGTTCCCTCAAGATGTCAGCTCCCTCGTCTCGAATTAAATACCTCGGCCGTATTTTCTCCCTTCTTCTTCGTTTCATTTACGTCAGCCCTCCCTATCTTTATCTTTCCAATCATTTCTTTTCTTCCTCTTTGTTTATCTTTGCGTACTGCATGCATGCAACACTTCTTTGTCAGCTGCATATTAATTCATTTTATTTTAATTGTTACGTACATGCAATATCTGTATTTTGCAAATCCTTCATCAATTTAGTGTTGAGTTGTCCCATTCCACTCCTTGTCGGGACTACATTTTGGCTGCACAAATAAAATAAAAAATTCGAACATCTGATCGTGTAGATTATAGACTATTTATATTTTAATTATTTTATAGTAGCAAACGTTGTCACGGGATAAATATACTACAGACTTATTACAGTGCAAGACGTATTGACCTTGCTGCAGTCAATATCGACAGTCTTCCTCCTACATATCTTAAGATGAATGGACGAAGGAAAGCAAAACCGGATCCTGTCTTTCCACGGGTATCGAAAAAGCTTCTGAGGAGGAAAGTTGAACGCCAGGTAGCGGACGCTGGGCCATCTCCATGTCTGAATTGGTTTCAGTAATTTGTCTAAAATGTAAAATCTCGAGGCAAGCGCGCCGGAGCTTTGTATGACGCCAACAGTAAATAACGGGGTTAAAAAAAGAATTAAATAAATAGAAAGTTAAAAGCCAGCTCCACAAAACGGGCTCAAAGCGAGGCTCTACTGGGTTGTCCAGAACTTGTACCAGACCCGTTATGATTGAAGGTAAGTGAGTGAGCGTTAACGCACCCACAACGAATGATACAGTGTTCGCTGCCTTGCTGTCCTTTTTTATTCTTTTCGCTTCTTCGTTTGGCAGCTGCTCGGTTCGAAGGCGCTTTTTCTGGCGCCGTGTTTCTAAGAACATATAGCAATTACTGTAAGTGATAACAGCAATGAAAGCCAAAAGGATAAGAAGGAGTGTTACGTCGATTACGTTGTAATAGACCGAGTACAATTTCGAATCACTCAGTATGAAGGTTGAAACAAAGTCTTGAGTTATGAAACACGCAGTGATGATCCATGCTAGAAGCACGCCTCATTTAACCCGACGTCCAGTAACGATCTCCTGGTACCTCAAGGGATGTTTGATAGCAATATAGCGATCAATACTGATTAAAAAAAGGTGACTGGACGACGTCAAACCAGCTGTCGACAAGGCTACTTGGTAGAGCTTCTCCAAGACGCAAAATGGTCCCACACCGAGGATCCTCTTTATGTCAACCGCTATCGCGATCGGTTGCACAACAAGTCCAGTCAACAAGTCTGTTCCCGCCAAACACGCCAGAAGTGTGTTGGACTTGGTTCTCAGTCGCTGCTTTGTTGCCACGGCTAAGATGACCAAGGAGTTTAGCAAGATGGTTGGAAAGATTGCGACTAAATTGACAATGGTCACAGAAACTAAGACGGCAAAAGTATCTTTTGCCAGATATGCCTTTCTCCAAACGGGATAAGACAGGTAAGGACATTCTTCCCCGCTATCTGGATCTGTAGGCATTAGAAAGGAAAGTCCGTGGTGAAGACGCGATCGTCAGAATGGAACAATTATGCAAATGTCTGACAATTTGGAAACATAAGACACTCTCTGTCAGTCAGTCAGATCATTTTGGGCCTTCCTTGGAAAAATTTGAATACAGAAGAGATTAATGAAAAATTTTCTTCCTTTGGATACTCATAAAGAAGCTTAAGGACACTTTTTCCTCAAGGAAAGGTAGATGTGGATGTGTGCGAGATAATTAAGAACACACGGCATCTTGTGATTGCAAACTTTATGTACGCGTTTCCGTTGACTGGACAATGCCGGTGTTTATATCACTAATGATACCGATTTTAATTTCTTAATGCTTTGGCGGCTATAGCCGATACCCAAATTCGACCAATCTGATTGACTATACTGATTCCGAATTTGGTTGTTATACCATTCAGTGGTAAATCTTTATACAAGTTTGTGTCCGTCTGAGTTACGCCTTCCTCAGTCGACTTAAACTTTATTTTTTCTTGCATCATCGTGAAAACGAGAATCTTATAATTGCGTGCACAATAGCTATTTTCTGAAGACTTTTTAACAAACAGCTGATTTGAGACTGCCTTGAGAGTTTGGAAAACAAAGCAGCTATTTTCCAGATGAGTTTTATTTTCAGTTTTTCGGACGTCTGAGAATCAGTCTAGAGTAGCGTAGGAGTTAATTGAGTTAAGCGCGCGGATTCTGTGAACAAAAGAAATCATGAGAACTCAAATAACCCGCATAGTAGGTGGGGTCGAGTAAGAAAACGCAAGTGATAAACAAGATGAATTTTCTATGTAATGGATTGATCAGGGCGTCAAATAAAATAGGCCAAATGTACGAAAGGTTGAGTCTGCAAAAAAAGTTGAACCACATTAAACTTTTACCGCCAACGCAAGCCTTTCGTCCAGTTTATTTTGGGCAAATGAAGAAGATATTTGTTTTCCTCCAGTATATATAAGGTCCGTTAAAAATTAAAAAAAAAAAAAAACGAAAAGAAAAGAAACTAGAATGTGTTATTGATATGTGGCGTATTAGCAAAAATAGATTTAGGAATTTGTACCTCTCGTCCCCAGTGCTACTCGTCTTAAAATGTCGTTATTACAAGAAACGCAGGCTCAGTGGACGAAATTGGTACGAAAACCTCTGCAAATACTATCTGGGCATGTTCACGATTTGTGTTGAAAGTGAGGGTATTACTTGGTGTAGCGAGCACTAGAGCATGAGTGTAGAACAAAGTTGATTTCAGTTGCATGACGCATATTAATCAAGTCGACCGTGCAACTTTGATTACATATAATCACCTTTGATTACCATTGGTTTAATATTCATAATGACACTAATGCAACACCCCACTGAACAAATCATTACTGTCCAGTCTCAAGTCGTCCCCATAGCCCTTTCCGCCTCTCTTAGGGGACAGGGCCTTGGCACGAGAAATGAAGGGCCCTTCGTTTGTCGTGCCAAGGCCCCGCCCGCTAAGAGAAGCGAAAAGGGCTATGGGGACGAGAATGGTTTGACTCCTTTGCAGGACATGGAGGGCATCTTGTTTCTACCTAGTGAGGTATAAAGCGTTTTCACTCACGTGGCCAGCTGGCATGCACATGTATTGGAACAAAAGAAAGTACATTTTCATTTGAAAAGAATTCAATAGTTTGTCTTGTGTGATCACCAGGTCAGAGTAGTTCTGAAAAGAGCTGTTATTGGTGACTGACGTTTCGACAACCAGAGTGGAAGTCAAGTGAATAGTGTTCGTAAAGTCGACTGTGCTACAGTAATTATTGGTGTTCAACTCTCACAAAACTGGTTTGGGAAAACAATATGGCACCATTTCTCAGTTTTTGGAAAAACCAAGGGAAAAAAACAAACAAACAAACAAACGCAGGCAGATTGACCCAGTTACACTCTTGCGTGTAGTGTCCCCTGTAAGGATCCCCTCCTCCACACAGCCCTTAAACCTAACGCCCTGCTTAAAACCCCACCAGGGGACCTGCTCAGAAGCTACTCCTTTCACTTTACCACTTTCTCCCACGCCTTTGTGGTCAATTGATTTTGGTGGCATATCCGAGACACTGTTTGCATCGGAACATGTGACCTGAAAACGATTGACTGAGGCGAAATATTGAGGTCTAGGAACTAGGCAACTTTACCCTCAGAATAAGCCCATTCATTCAAGTCAAAATGTAAATCAACTAATTAATTGCAACTTGTTTGTCTGCATATAAAAGAGGGTAGTGGGCAATACTTTCATGTGACAGTCACACAGTGTCACACAGTGTCACACAGTTAGTGTTGTCCATATCATGTAGAACATAACTCAAGATTTCAAAACTTCCTATAAAATAACAGAAATTGTGCAAAACTATGCAAGTTACTGTTATAACAATATTTATTGAGGAATGAGCGCCATTTACATGAATTTCATTCTGACAACTAGGGCACTTCAAGGAGCATTTGAGTTTGGTCCTCTTCTCTTTCCAAACCCAGCAACAACATTAACGAATCTCCTGTTATACTGCATTCTACGCTTGGCACGGCCAGTCTTCTTCTTTTTCTTCTCTTGCTTGTCAACCTGCACAGACATGAGAAAGTGAAATGAAATAAGCTAAACAGTTAGAGCTAGAAGAAAACACATGTACATAGCTGTTACTCAATGTAGATAGTTATTTTCTTTATTCATAAATGGAGACAGAAATTGAAATCCATGAGCAAACAGAAAAGAGCAAAATGGCAATATTTCTACATGTACATTTAAGGAAGGTTAACTAATAATGCTTTTTTCCTACAAAAAATACCACTACAAAAGGTGCAAGCAATCACAAATGAAAAAATTCAGGACTGCTAAGGAAACTAGTCAAATTGCATGATTCAATTTATCTGGACCAGCCAACAAGAGGTTCTGAATGGAAAGTATGAAATTATCAGAGGTCGCTTAACGGCAGCAATAAGGCTAATAACATAACACTGCGTAATGATAAATGGGTGAATGACATAAAGATTGTGTTCGTGAAAAATAGTGACTTGGACACAGCCCTTGATATCAATAGCAGAAATTGAGACATACACAGAAACGCATTTTGAGCTTTTAAGTAACTTGTCCAAGAAGGTTTTGATGTCTTCATTGTCCACTTAACTTCAGCTTTATCCAGTAAATTTCAAACAAAATTCATGCTGCATAAACTAACAAAAAGAAGAAAGGAGAACAATGAAAGGAGACTCTGACATACCTTAGGTGTTTGTCCCTTCACTTTACCAGCACGAGCCAGGGAGCCGTGAACCTTACCTGGGGGTCAAGAGAAGGAAATGTTACCACAAGTTTACCAGTGAAGTAAAAAATTTAAGACAGTTTGTCTACATCATTATTCTGTATAGTCAATAGCCCAGCTAATACCTCCAACTCAGAGCTCTTACAGTGCTACAAGTTTTTGTACAAGTTTGATAGTCAGATTGACACCACTTGTAAAATACATGAAATTGCATTATGACCCAAGTAACTATTGGCTTCTTATTACCACTTGCATATTTGGTTGTCAATCAGTGTGTGTGTTTTCTTGTTTGGAATTACACTGTAAATAGACAGTATAATAATGCAAGGCCACGTTACTTAGTCACAAGTCCCAAATTTCAAAGCCCAGTCTTTCCCTAAACATCACAGCACTATTAGAATAATGCCACTGAATGTATTAAAGATCATATAAGTGTATTTACAAGACATGAGAGATCATATGCAGTTATGTGCACAACTTAAACAGTTGTGAAAATAAGGCCTGAAAAAAAATAGGGGAAAAAAAGCCAGCTTGAACAGGATTCAAACCATTAAATATGCAATACCGTTACAGTTCTCTACCACCTGAGCTATCAAGCCAACATAACTGCATAAATCTCTCTGCACAGTTCAAGATGTTCTATCATAAAATCACTTCCATTCTTCAACATCTTATGAACTCAGAATGTGGCTACAATGGGCAACAAAAGTANAGAGGGAGGGAGGGTGAAGAAATGTTTCCAAGACACTCAAAAATCGAATTTCACTGTGGAGTGTCTCAACACTTTTGTCACTCATTGTAGCCTTCAATTGACTTGATAGCTCACTTGGTAGAACACTGCACCTATATCATAAAGGTCATGGGTTTGAATCCTGTTCAAGCCCAAATATTTTCTAGGGCTTTATTTTCAATTGTTGAAGACATGAATGATCATTGCAATTTACATCCAAAGCTTAAGCAGCTGTGAAATTAAAGCATGAAAAAAAAACAAAAAAAAAACACACACTCTTGAACAGGATTCAAACCCATGACCCCTGGGATATGGGTGTAGTGCTTTACCAATTGCAACTGAGCTACATTATGTATCAAGCCAATTCGGAGTTGGTTGCGTTGCGAGTTTATACTATTCCCGTAGATGGTAAAAAATGCAAGTGAATGCATGAAAGATATTAAATTTGAACTGCAAAAGAAAGATGTGAAGACATGGTCACTGCAGTTATCTACACAGCTTAAGCAATTGTTGAAGTTGTGTACATAACTGTGACAATATTTCATGAATGTCATCAAACTACTGGAATAATGAAATTTAAAATCAATAGTCACCCCTAATACAACATGTACGTGTACCTAGTAGCACATACATATGGTATATCTATCAACATAACACTTCTACAATAATTCACACCAAGTGAAAAGCAATCCTTATAACAACAAACTATTAACTAGATATACTGTACACTGTAACTTTTTGCTACAATACATGTAAGCTCCTGATTTTAGAAGTGGCTTTGTATTTTGCGCTGTTTGAGAAAGCCCATCGACTTACGAAATTCATTTAACAACTGTAGAACTTGTTTTGTGTTACATCATTAAATAAGAGTTTAACCATGTACAAAAAATGCATACTTGCGTGAACCTATTTTTTTTTTTTGTTTTACAAATATCACTTCCACAGTAATTTATGAATTATTATTCAAAGAATTTTCTAATTTGCAGAATAGAAACTATNGTACAAAAAATGCATACTTGCGTGAACCTATTTTTTTTTTTTGTTTTACAAATATCACTTCCACAGTAATTTATGAATTATTATTCAAAGAATTTTCTAATTTGCAGAATAGAAACTATTGAATTGTTCCACCACAGGAACAACAGCTTATTCCACGCTCTCTTAGAATGAACTTTTATTTCTACTTTTCAACATATAATCGTGGCAGAAAATGCCTTGGTCAGCTTCTCTGTTATAGGCTTACCTTGCTTACAGATGTGACGGTATGGCAGTGAAATGCCTTACTATTTACGTTCAAGGCAGTATTTAACATGCTCATAAGACCCTTTAACTTACAATCATTTTACACACAAATTAAGCTTCTGAACAGAATCCTAAAAGATTACCTCCAAGCAAACGAAGACCAACTTCAAGAGTGGACAGATCAGCTACTCCACAATCTACAAGGCTCAGGGTATCATCAAGAGGCTTTCCAGCGTAGAAGAGAACTTGTTCATCAGCGGGAATGCCCTCAGCAAAGGCAATGACATTCTTCAGATCGAACACACTCTCCCCGCCAGTAACATCGAAAGTATGTAGATTTTCTCCGCGAATAAACAACTGCATCTTGAGTAAACTAACACCAAAAGTAGCTACAATAGGTATGCGACGTATTACGGTGTAAAATGAGCCCCAACTCAGCCTTTAACGATATAAATAAAGCGAGTTTTTGCCTACCGTTCTCACAGATTACACGTGGTGGTGCAACCAAATTTTCTAAAAGGAAGAGAGATGATACAGCGCAGCCATTTGACGCATGGCGCGAAAAGACCGCTGGGATCAGAGCCCGCAATGAAGTGTCAGCGGATATCAGCGTAAACCCAGAAATTCAAAATGGCGGCTGTCATTAAAATTTGTAGAGCTTTCTTTTCTTCAAATACAGCGCTGTATTTTCCAAGAAGAGCACCGCAACCTAAGGTGAAAATCTTTACTTGGTATTTTCCATTTCTAGCAGTAATCTATTTACAGATTTTTTTCTATTGTTTTGTTTTTAGGGTGTTAATACAAGTGTCCAAACATCGACCACCGAGAAATATTTCACCTATGAAATCAAGCCAGAGCGACTTCAACAGATTCAGAAGTCTCCCAGTGGTTGGGTTCCTTCAGCTACTGGTAATATATTTTCATCATTCGGGGATGAATAATGATTGTAACTAATGAATGGGTTGTTGCATGAGTGGACGTTAGAAGCTTTGCTATTTATCTCAAACTGTGTGAAACATGAATTCATAAATTTAATTTTTATTGATTGATTGATTGATCTTTTTTGTAGAAAAACCAAACTTACCTTTCTTCATTAAAAGATCCAAATACAACAATCTTCCAGTATACACAGATTACAAGAATGCGAGAAGTCGTAAGATCACTATAATAAGGAAAATAAAAGGAGACCTTAAGGTAAGACTTTTGCAGCCCCCCCCCCCCCC